GAGAGAGAGAGAGGAATCTGTCTGTTTCACTTTTCCTGTAGTGGGAGCAAACATAACCTCAACCTGTCAAATGAAATGAAATCCAGAGGGTGAAATGATTAGAATGGCTCTTTTGTCTGTTTAATTGTTTGTATTAACACCACAGTGCTCTTTTTTTTTTTTACGGCCTCGGAGTCCCTTTTTCGGGTCCCATTCGGCACTCTATCCAACCCTATGCATGCGGCTGTGGATTCTACACTGCACCGCATTCGCACTTCTATAGAACATAGAAGTAGCATGGGGAAACCACAGAAAACCCATGCCGGTACAGGCGTTTCCTCTATTAGCAACCTCCCGCTCGCCGGAGCCTTCCGTTGAAAAATTCGGTTCCACGGGGAATCGAACTCACAACCTTTCGCACACTAGACTTGCGTCTAATCCACTCGGCCACCGACGTCGGTATACCACAGTGCTCCATCCACCAAGATGTTCACTGGTTTCACCACTGGTTTCATCTTTTTCTTGATTGAGGAAGAATATTTTCGAGCTCGTTTTTCCATTTTGTTTGTCTTTTTGTTTCATCCACGACTTTGAAGTGGCCTCGTGAACGTTGAGATTTTCAGCAATTGCTGAAACTGGAGTCCCACTTGTTACCTCGTCTACGGCTTTTATTTTAATGTGTAACTCCACTGAAACTGGAGATTTCCTTTTCAAATTTGTTTTCACCGAGAACATGTTGAGGTTATAAACGACAAAACACGAGGCTATACATAACACATGACGGGTGGCACCGAAGAGTCTCCCACTGCGCGTTCCCGTCGCGCAGCGGGACACACGCACTTACCACTGCATGTGAACGGACTCAGTGGTGGGGGAAGGCAACTTACCCAACTAAAATCATAGAGAGTGAGAAAAATAAGGAGACTACTGTATTGAATCCGTTTATTACCATATGTTTGAGACGATGATATCGTAATCGGAGTCGAATGACATTGTCAATCGAAATACAGGGTGACAAATGGGAAGTTGCCTAAAGTATATCCACATGTCTTCCCTTCCTACTGAGACCCGGAAGGTTAGGTCCATTAGTTATATACTAGAGTGTTGTCAGTTTCTATTGAGACGCTACAAGAAGCATTACGTGTACTTCAAAATGAGTAACCTTACAAACGAAGAAAAAGTATATCTTATCGAGTGATTTTATACTAGAGGTAAAAACTATACTCAAGCATATACAGGCTTTCGTACCAAATTTGGAAGTAAAAAAGTAGCTAGTCAAAACACCCTCAGAAGGTGAGAATAAAAAAAAAATTATCTGAATTCATCGTATAACGTCACCTTTGACTAAATCTTTCAAGTATTTATTACTTTCTCTCCCAGAGTAATTAATAATTTCATCATGTATTATACTCTTGAGGACCGTCGTCATGATCTTCCTGATCCATCACACTCAGTTACAACAGAAGATATGATTGCCAAGATCGAAGAACATTTCAAGAATAATCGAACGGATTCGATACGAAACGCAGCGGCAACTTTGAAACTGAGCCGAGAGACACTGAGATTAATATTGAAGAACTTCCTCAAGTTACACCCTTACAAAATCACGACCCATCATTTGCTCACAGAAGATTCCAAAAACAAAAGAATTGAATGTTGTAAAATTTTGACACAGAAATTTGAAAATGATGAGATCGACATCAATCACATAATCTTCACAGACGAAGCTCACTTTCATTTAAATCGATATCTAAATAAACAAAATTACCGTGTTTGGGGTCGCGAAAATCCACACTCATCTGAGGCAATGTCTTTACACCCTGTTAAAGTGACTGTTTGGGCAGCTATTTCAATCAAAACAATACACTTAGAATTCATAGAAGGGACCATTACAGGCAGTAGTTATCAAGAAATGCTACAAACTAAATTTTTCCCTTTGGCTAAAAGAAGAGGATTGGTTAAGAACTATTATTTTATGCAAGATGGTGCTACACCGCATAGAACTAAGGACGTATTTGAAGCTATTTATGAAGTGTATTGTGATCGCGTCATCAGATTAGGATACCCTAAGTTTGCGCATGGAGGTATGGAATGGCCCCCTTATTCACCCAATTTGAACCCGTATGACTTTTTCTTAT